GATCGTCTCATATTCAGCCCACTTATTTCAACTACCAGCTTTTTAGAACAGTCTTCGGTTCTTTCCACTCCACCCGTCCATCTTAGGCACAATGGTTTAGGCACTCCCTGTATATCTAAATCGATCATCAATGATTCATCCATCAGACTAACAGATGAACCTTCATCAATAAGGGCAAAGGTGTCAACGAATTTTTGTACTCCAAATAATTTTATTGTGACAATTTTAAATAAAATTCTGCTATTTATTTCGCAGTGAGAGTTTACGATTTGTTCACTATTATTATTTTGACATGTGTTTTCGTTATCACTTGACTTCTCCTTTTCTCGTTCTCTTGTGATTTCAGAAAAATTATGTAAAGAAGAATGATGGAAGTATTGACACCCTTCTACACCACACATTATTCTTTTCTTGCATTCTCCTTTATGTTTATGCAGGCAGAACTTACAGAGCATATGTTCTCTTACTAGTCTCCACTCCTCTCCACGGTCAAGTTTCAAGTATTGCTTGCAGCAATCAACTGATTTACAGTTCTTATTACAAATTATGCATTTACGTCCCTCTCCGTGAGAGTGGACAAATGCTTTGTTGTTGTGCATTTGGTTATGACTTCTGCTCTCTACATTGATGTTGTTACTACCAGTGAGGTTATTAACTGCTATACTACTAACAGTAATGCCAATGTTAAACATCCATCTGTCAAATTCGGCCAGATTTGGACTCTTTTTGGCATTTAATAATTTCAATTTCTGAGTCGCCCATTGCATTTGATACGAAGCTGGTAATTTTAACAACATATCATGGAGAAATGAAGTGTTATTGATTTCATCAGATAAATTACTGGCGACTATAGTTGAAACTAGGCTGCGTACGTTAACAGCGAAAGTGGTCAGTGAGTTTAGATTATTTTCATATACTCTGGAGGTCATCTTTATACGAGTTTTTATTGAATTTATTATTTTCTCAGGCTGCCCGTACAAAACTTGGAGAATTTCCATCACAGAAGACACGTTAGAAGGGTGAATTAACATTTGCTGCTCACTTTGTAATGCACTGCCTTTTAGAGATCGTTGAAGTCGAATCAAGTTTTCGGCATCAGTGAAACCACAAGCTTGAGTGGACCAATAAAATGTGGAGGAAAATAGTGGCCACTCTTCAGGCTGACCAGAGAATAAAGGAAGTTCCTTAGGCACCGATTGTCTTGAATTTATTTGGCTTTGGGACAAATAATTTGTTGTATTAAAGATGTGCGAGTCGAAAGAAGGGACTGCTGTTGGATGAAAATACATAGTTGATGTTAAAGGGTTATTGTTTGCCCGAGGAACATTGGCGGTAATATTTTGTTGGACTTCCTCAACTGTCTGTGCGGATGGAATGGCGCTTGTTGTTGTCAAAGATAGATGTGTCAAACCTGGAGTGGAAATTATTTCAGTATTTATTGGCGCTGTTTGTGAAGTTATTGGAACATGGACATTAAATAAACCGCTATTCTCATTTGGTGTACCGAATCGAATAGTTTGTTGACCAGTACGATTTCTGTCCGTTAAGTGTGGATCTATACTATCAGCTGATGTAATTGCAGACGTGCTTGGGTTATTAAGGTCTACTGCTGTAAGATTATTGTTCTGGTATGTATTACCTAAGTTTTTACTTTCAATTACTTGTGCATTGGCATCTAATACATAAGGCACATTCAAATATACAGTTTCATCAGGCAGGAATAAATCCTGCTGGCCCGTGTTGTTGTTATCATTATTAACGCCCAGTATTAAAATCATGGTTGGCTTCAATATTTTCAATACGTACTACGTTGCCAGGGATATATGCGCAATATCTTCTAATTCTTCGCTAATCGAAATAGATTTTTGAGAATGTACTGATGAAGTAGTGTTTATTTGTTCTTCTAAAAGTTGATATTTAATTTTTATGTACTGCTGATTAAGAGCAGTTTCTGCTGCAAGTTGTTTTTGTTTAAGATCACGTTCTTCCTCTAATCGTTGGAGTTGCAGTTTAACTTTGGTTGGGAGAGCGTGATGGGGTTGTTCCTGAATTTGGTTTGTATAGCAGTTTGTTGAGAAACTTTGATTTCCACCGCAGTCCTGGCATTGGAAGTTTTTGTCCATTGGAATGCGAACGCACGTAGTGTGGAAGGAATTGTTACAATTAGAACAATTCGCCATATTATTGTCAGGGGGTTTATGACATAAGCCACATGGCTGATCGTTTTGTTGATCATATGATATCATTTCTACTCACTGCGATTGGCAAGTCTTTTTGGTTAAGAATCCAAGAATAAAAAAGAATTTTAAAAATGTTATCGGGCAAATCGGCCAAGCTAGCGAAAATTCACTGGATTTTGAATAAAGCAAAATTCGTAAAATTGTGGTTTATTAACAAATTGAGCTTATATTAAAATTCCTGTAAAATTAATGTTGTTAGAATATACGTTTACAGTATTTATGAATAGACCTACTTTTTTAGTGTGAAAATTGCTAGAAGTTTAAACTTAATTCTTCTCTTTGGACTTAACTAGTCCTTTTCTTGGTTAAGACGAAAAATGGCGCCACTATAGACGCTTTTTGACAAATAAAAATTTACGATACAATTAATTGACATATAAACAAAGAATTTTGTAATAGAGCAAATATTAAATAAACATGTAAGTGTTGCCCTATCCAAAGCACGATGTGTTAGTTTGAAAAGGGGCGACAACAAGGAGAATAGGACAAAGAAAAAGAAGAAAATAAACAACATAAGTGAGCCGAATTAAAAACTGAGTTAATAAACTGAATAGGCGGTACAGAAATAGTGACTTAATTCGGGCCTCACGTCTGGGCGCCAAAAATAATTTATATGTAGCATATAACCAATAATAGGATTTCTTTGACAGTATTAAGAAGCTAGCACACGTATCTAAGACCGGCCTACTAGCTCGTCGGGGTGGGTAGGTTCGGTGCTTCTCTAGCTCTATATATGGCTACTATAAATTACTTTAGTTTATACAAAAAAACGTGTCGGTCTCATTCCGTCTTTGCTGCCCTCCCAACCTAGCCATATAGAGATGAACCAGAATCAACTTTGTTCATATGACCCAAGATAGAACGAATCAGTGGCCCACCTACTTAACCATCAGGCAATCAGCAATATTGAAGTATTATGCCATATCTATTATAAATTTATTGTCTAAATATTAAAGGCTACTTTATAACTAGGTTCAATAACTAACATGATTATTTTCAATGAATCTGTGTAATTAATTTAAATTTAAGAACTTAAAATTTGTTAAAAATACAAATTTTAAAGAGAAACACTAAAATAATAAATCGATATCTCTGCATAATTCTAATTCCGGGGTATTTACCCACTCTATTGTATTTACACGCTTTACACAAAAAATATCACCCAAAGCAGAATGTAATATTATGGATACAAAGAGAAACAAATAATACTCACGATTTACATACCATCCACAATAAAGCTCCAACGTTGAAAGGCCTTTCTACGATTGCTTGCAGTGGTTGCTGTAATTTCTAACAGGAAAGCAATAATTTATGTTAACAGAGTTATGTGCTTCTCTTTTGCTCTGCTGTAGAAAATGATGATATTAAATATGCAAGACAATGATCATCATTATTAACTGCAGAGAGATCGATGTTAAATTGTTACAAGCAAAATAGGGTAACCACACAACTGCTAGCATGAGATGCTCAATGCAGAGTCACGATATGTATGTTTGTCACCCGAATTTATGTTGTGTTGTGTGTTTATCGAGCTTTGCTTGATTATGTGAAACTCGTTTGTAATCACTGATGATAGTACACTAGTGGTTATAATTGAAGTTTTAGAAACAAAATAGAAAAGTTAATTAAGAATTAATTGAATGAAATAATTAAGAGATAGCTTTTCTAGTATACTTCAGACTGCGCCTTTGCTGTTAGGTCCTGGGTTTCTTAGATTTCCGGATTTAACACACAATTCGGTATCTTGTTGGATACTACAAGAGTAGTTTATTCTCTAGTTTCAACCAAACAATCCAAAGGCAATAATGATGGTTTTGAATCACTATTTGTGATACTGCACCGAGTTTGGTTGGTTAAATTATGATGTAATTATGCCTTGCTTCCACTTGTTGTCGATCAATGTGACTGACTAGATCAACGTGTTCACTGACAGAGTTTCTGCTCTACACTTTGCTCTTAGATTGTGAGCAAAGAACAGACGGTATTCGTTGGTTTTGTTGGATTACTTATTCCTCGTTCAACAATTACAATGAAGGTTTGGTACTCAGTGCCAATCGCATATGCGAAATGACACTCAGTTTAATGTGTAATTATCATTAAACGCAAGTCAAGATAATGATAATTTGGATTTTTAAATGAATTTAAACCATTTAACTATTTAAAAATTAGCAATGGATAACTTGCCAAGAGTATATTAAATTTTGCTGTGATATATTACCAACAGACTTATATTAATCGTTTGATATTTGATAAAAGCAACTGTCTTGGGCGAACTTGTCAACGGTACGTGGAACAGCAAAATGGCAGAGTAAAGCACCTCTCAAGTTAAAGAAAATTCTGCTTTAGCTAGAGCAGACAGCGATTCCAGTCTACTAGCAATAAGCGGCGAGTTAGCAGGGATATTCTAATCGATTTACGTAGAAACACTTCAGATGTCGCTATCAGTTCTCTAAATCGGTATAATTTTATGAAACCCTAGATATCATGAATTAAGTTCAAGGTACCCCTTACATCCAGCAGAGCACATTTCAGATTTGTTATTGCCACTCACCTACACAACAGTACGAAACAAAAAACAAGTCCCGTTGTTTAAGTGATGGCCAGCATGCAATAGTGTAAAAAATTCATATTTCCTAGAATATTCAATGCAATAATTTTATCAAGACCTCAACTCATTTCAACAACTTCTCATTTTTTTTTTTTTTTTGATACATTCGTATGAATATCAGTAAATATTTTTTTCATGTTTTTTTTTTTCAGATTACCGCTGTAGATCTCGATACTGGACGCAATGCGCAGCTAAATTATTCTATTGAAAATGTAACTGACAATGGCAGCTGGTTGAAAAATATAGTGTTAAAATCAAACGGAGAAATCGTCATATTGAAGTCATTAAAACTCTTAACGAACAGATTGATACAATTTTTTGTACGAGTAATTGACGATGGGTACCCAGACAGACACAGCAATTTAATCCCTGTGTCCCTGCAAATTATGGAGTCAAATGTAACCATTCCTTACTTCGAGAAAAAGTCGATGAATATTAACGTCGATGAAACCCTTAATCCAGGATCCATACTGGCCAGACTCAAAGTTACAGGAAATTATTCCGTTAAGTTTTCTCTAGCTTCCAAATCTTCAAAATTTACTGTTTCCGAGAATGGAGATGTTTTGTTGACACAATCTTTAGATAGAGAGCTTAGTCCTTTGGAACATATTACAGCTATGTTTGAAACCGCCACAAAACCTGTACTATATGGGTACATTGATATATACATTAATATTCAAGACGATAACGATAATTTCCCAACATTTTCAAACTTGGTGTACAACATGGATGTTCCAGAAAACAACGAAAAAGGGTCATCAATTTTGAAAATAACAGCTTTTGATCCAGATGAAGGTCCCAACGGTGATGTTCGGTACTACTTGGACGATGACGACTTGGACAAAATGTTTGAAATTGATATACACTCTGGTTGGATAACTCAACTTGGTACTTTAGATAGAGAATTGCAGTCGGAATATTATTTTAATGTTTTGGCAAGCGACAATGGTCAATCGAAACAAACATCTAAAGTAACAGTGTCTATAGCCGTTAGAGATTATAATGACAATCCACCATTATTTAAACAAACATTTCAAATGTTTTCTGTACCCGAAAATGCATTACCTGGTACCGTTCTAAATCAACTTTTGATAAGTGATTTAGATTCAGAAAAGAATAATTTACAATTTTTCATTGTTTCTGGCGACAATAAATCTCAATTTCAAATTGCCAACACCGGAGAACTCTTTGTGTCCAAAGCACTTGACAGAGAATCAATTTCATCATATAGCATTAGTGTGGCTGTGACTGATGGAAAATTTGTGTCATATACTGACGTGTCAATTAATGTTCTTGACATAAATGACAATTTCCCTATATGCATAAGTCCAAAGTATGAAATAGCCATACCAGAATCAACACCAGTAAGTGCCTCAATTGTGAAAATAAATGCAATCGATATTGATGATGTTGAGAATAGCAGAATAAGATTTTATGTTACTGGAAATTATTCGGAAGATTTTTATGTAGATAAAGATCAAGGAATTCTTAGAGTTGCCGAACCAATCGATCGAGAAATACGATCGAAATATTCTCTACTTGTTCATGTGCAGGATGCAAAAGAACTATTACAGGAGTGTATTTGTGAAGTAATTATAACAGTAACTGATGTAAATGACAATCGGCCAGAATTTTCCATGCATCAATACATATTAAGTATACCAGAAAACGCACAAATTGGCACAATTGTTACAAAAATACATGCCGTCGATAGAGATTTTGGTTTAAATCGAAAAATATCCTACACGCTTTTGGATGAAACTGAGTATTTTGAGATTTATTCTTCAAGTGGTATCATAAAGCTCAAAAAACTGTTGGATCGGGAAAGCATTTCTGTTTTTAATTTAACTGTAAAAGCAGAGGATAATGGCACTTCGAAGTTATATTCTACGGAAAACCTTATTGTTCATGTGCTCGATATAAATGATAACCCGCCGGAATTCCAACTTAAACAATATAAAGCATATCTGTGGGAAAATGCTACAGTAGACACCCAGGTAACGCAAGTATATGCAACTTCAAAAGATATTGGTGTAAACGCAGAAATATCCTATTACATTATTGGTGGAAATGAACAACAGAAATTTAAAATTGATACAACTAGTGGAATAATTTTTCTTAACATGGAAATCGATTATGAAAAGACTAAGTCATTCTTTTTGAATGTGCAAGCAATCGATGGTGGCATACCTCCTTTAAGCAGTCAAACCTTTGTGAATATTACTGTTTTAGATGTTAACGATAACACCCCACATTTCTCCCAAAATCTTTATCGAGTTAAAGTAAGCGAACGCGCCAATATAGGAGACAACATTTTACAAGTTATTGCAATGGATGATGATAGTGATAAAAATGGAGTAGTTGAATATAACATTGAACGAGGTGATCGTCTAAAACAATTTTCTATAGATGATTTCTCTGGAAAAATTTATGTGAATCACAATTTAGACAGAGAAGGTATTCAGTCATATATTCTAGAGGTGAGAGCATGCGACAAAGGGTGGCCACGGCTCTGCAGTTTTGTCCAAGTTTTTGTAGACATTATGGACGTAAATGATAATAGCCCGATAGTTAGGAATGGCAATAGCACGATATTGCTGCAAGAGAACAAGCCTTTGGGATTCGAAGTAACAACATTTGATGTCTCTGATGCGGACGAGTATCCAAATACAAGTCCCTATACATTTGATTTTAGGAGCGGAAACGAAGGAGGATTTTTTCGTCTTGAACAGGACGGTAGATTGTTAACTGCATTTCGATTTAGCCACAGAATATGTGATGAATACATTCTTCAAATAAGAGTCTTCGACAATGGCATTCCACCACTTTACTCAGATACTTGGGTCACTATCAAAATAATTGAAGAAAGTCAATATCCCCCTATTATTACTCCTCTGGAAATAACAATTAATTCTGTTGAAGATGATTTCGGTGGCGGCTTTTTGGGGAAGGTATATGTATCAGATCAAGATAAATATGATACGTTCACGTACAAAATAGAGGCAAACATGACACAAACGTACTCTGCGATTAAGCTTTTTAACATATCGGCAACCACCGGCGATATATATGCTATAACAAACTTGGATATTGGCTTGTATTATATTAACGTTAGTGTTTCCGATGGAAAATTTAATTCATTTGCAAATGTGAGAATCAACGTAGAGTTAGTGACAACCGAAATGATAAAAAATGCTGTCATAATGAGATTTAGTAAAATCACGGCGAAAGATTTCATATTAAGTCATCGAAAAGCATTTCTCAGAATCATGCGCGAAGTTTTACAGTGCCGACAGAAGGACATTTTCATCATTGCACTGAAAGAAAACGATTTCACCAACACAAAGCACATCTTTAAAAACTCGTCATCTAACTTAACAGTGACTAATTCCAACCACATGTTGGATGTTGCGTTTGCTATTAAAAAACAATTAATCTTACCAACATCGGAAAGCTATTATACACCTGAGGAGGTATTATATAAGATGTCCATTGGCGTCGAAGAAATAGAAATTCGTTCTAACCTGCCTATTGAAGATATTGTGTCTAATGAGTGTCCAGTAAATATCTGTGTTCATGGAAAATGTAATACTCAGATGTTTATTAATAAAAATGAAGTAAACACGTTTTATACTGATGTGGTGAGTTACGTTACTCCAGAATATAAACTGAATTATAATTGCGCCTGCAAACAAGGCTTCGATGGTAAAAATTGTGAAGAACCTGTGAATGCATGTTCTTCCGACCCATGTCCACCACAGAAACAGTGTTGGCCAGCCGATACAATAAACGGCTATCAGTGCATCTGTCCATCGGGATATGCAGGCCAGTTTTGCGAAGTGCAATCCTCAAGATGCCACTACAACAATTGTTCAAATTTACAAACATCGGTTTCTTTCAGTGGAAAAAGTTACGCCCACTACAAAATAAATAAGTCGTCAGCTAGACATTTGGTTGAAAGCCAATTTTCTTTAACGCTCAGGATACGCACAGTACAGCAATCGGGAACACTTGTCTACGCCAGTGGTCAAATTGACTACAGCATTATAGAAATTGTGAATGGAGTTGTTCAATATCGATTTGATCTTGGTTCAGGAGAAGGCGTCGTTGCTGTTACGAGTATAAATATATCTGATGGCGAGTGGCACTCAATTAAACTAGAACGAGTTTTAAATACAGCGAAACTTGTAGTTGATAACAAGCATACATCACAGTCCAATTCTCCCGGAATTAATTCTATATTAAATTTAGATAAAAATGAAATTTTTGTCGGTGCAAAAGTGATACCACATCATACTATAGTGGGATATGAAGATATCCAGCGAGGTTTTATTGGTTGCTTGGCCGATATTAAAGTTGGACACGAAACCTTACCATTACATATAGTTGCAGGTGGTAATACGGTAGCAGCTTTAAGATTTACCAACGTAGAGTTCCTTTGCGATCCCTCAAAGGTGTTAATAAATCTTGGTATTTGCGGAGAACAACCTTGTCTAAATTCAGGCATTTGTCATGACCTAGGCGACAACTTTCAATGTGTTTGTTCTGAACGTTACGCTGGAAGGTTTTGTGAAATAGATCTAGATCCATGTGCTTCTATTCCATGTTTATATGGCGGCCTTTGCGAAATGCTTGGTCCAAATAATTACTCATGTACTTGTCCTTCACATTTATCAGGAAAACGCTGCGAGTATGGCCGCTTTTGTATCCCCAATCCCTGTAAGAACGGTGGAATATGTGAAGAGGGAGATGGTGTTTCTCACTGTATGTGTAGAGGTTTCACGGGGCCCACCTGCGAAATTGACGTCGACGAATGCGAAAACCAACCTTGCGGCAGCGGAGCCACCTGTATAAATGAGGCGGGAAGTTTTCGTTGCATATGTCCCTCATATTTAACGGGCGCCAGTTGCGGAGATCCGCTATATTCCAATTCTATTTCAACGAAATTGAGAAACTTATCCGTTGAAAAAATAACAGGAATTATTTGTGGTGCTTTGTTTGTGTTCATTCTGTGTACTATCACCATATGTTGCAGAATGTATAGGAGAAATTGTTCTACAAGAAAAAAAAGTTCGAGTCGCATTAAAAACAGTTGCAAAGAAACAAAATTAAACTCATTATTGGAGAAAGAGAAAAACAATAAACACAAAACTAAAATAAGTAATCTTGAAGTTAATCACCGACCACTTAGCTACGCCCCAACAGCTACAGACAATATGATCTCGAGTACTCATTTTGTAAATAATTTGGATATACTTAGGAGTTATGGATCTGCCGGTGACGAACTTGAGAATATACCATTCGAGTATCAAAAAATAAGTATTAATAAAGTAAATGTAAATATTAACAACGAAAACATATCAGAGGCAGCAGTGTCAGCCTATAAGACGGACTGGTGTGATCAAACGCAGTTAAAGACTTTTTGTGAAAGCAAACTTAACAATGGTAAGTTCAGTTTTTGAACAATTTTTTAATTCATTGTATTATAATTATTAATATCGAATAAGCACTGCGGATTGAAGAGAAAGGCATGTTAATGGTTTACCCAAAAATTCTGAATACTTTTTATTTTTTCGTTTTGGACAACTGCCTAACATATGGAAGCTTTATATTTTATGTCTGAACCGATATACCTTCAAACTTAACAGACTTTAGATGATGTGATCTAAAATTCAATTATGTATATAAATATATATGTTGTTGTTTGCAAAATAGTTAGGGTTAATCTGATAACTTATGTTTTATAAAAACTACGTTTATTTATGAGGAGGTAAGAGGTAAGAGCCTCCAATCGGAGTGAGGTGAAGCAATTGTAAGACGACCACAGATAAAAGCAAAATAGATTTTTTATCTCTCAATATATATATATATATATATATATATATATATTTCTTTTTTTCCCCATTTTCTTTTCAATCAATTATGTTTTGCTCACATTATGTACTGTACGTACTAGTTTGTACAAACAGCAATAATTATTTGTTAATGGAATGCAATAATTATTTGTTAGGCCTTTTTAGTACTCAGAATTTCTTCACCTTGACAAAAAATATGTAATCATAACTTCATACATACTGAATTTTCTGACATTCAAGGTTTTATATATTATTAAAGTTTTTTTTTTTTCGGAAATAATATTAGGAAAATTACACCAAAAAGTTATCAACATCTTTCATTTGTATAAATTTCAGAATTTCTGATCTATATCTTCACCCAATACTAAATTTAATAACATTTAGTACTCATATCCAAAACAATCCGCATCTCCATCCTACATACTTTTCGTACATTTATAGTACACATATCCAAAACTACCTCAATATATTTATTTATTTATTTATTTATTTTCAATTAGTACAGAAACCTAGCCAACAGGGCCATGGACGGTTCAAAAAACTTCTATACATGACTACTCTAAAATTATTATAATATCCTTAATCCTAAAAGAATTACTTAAAATTAAACACTAAAACAAATTAACAAAAAATGAATAAAATTAACAATTGATTGATGGTTCCAAGAACTCCTATACATGACTACTCAAAATTCCAGATACCAACAGATACCTCAATGTTGAGGATTTCAGTCCCATCCCTTCACTCAATACCAAATTATGTAACATTTAGTACTTTTCGTACGATTATAGTACACATTTCCGAAACCACTTTCATATGTCTAAGATACACATGAACAGCGACCCTAACATCAAATTTCAGATTTCAAGCACTATCTGTTCACCCAATACAAAATACAGTACTAATTTGTAATTTTTCTAAACTACTTCTTTATTAAAAACCTACAACCAACAGGGACCCAATACAACATTTCAGATTTATCCGTTTTCCCTAGTTCCTAAATTTAGTACAGTGCGCACAGGTAGTACACATATATCACTTACTTATATTTATTTTCCAGTCTTGATACCTCAAAGTTCGAATTTCGAAAAACCCTTGGTGAACTACATCAGTAACTATCATTTCAAATTTCTAGCTAATTCCGTTTGACCAATGGAGAGTATTGAATTTTTATTGTTTTTCTTACCCTAATAGTACGGATTTCCAAAAACATTGCATTATCACACGCCTAAGCACCAAATTTCAAACCATTTTTTGAGGTATTAGCTAGCCATTGGTTAAGGGCTATTGTCGATAATGTTTGACAACAGATCTTAACGAGGTTTAATGTCAGTTAAATACTTATGTGTTAAGCTATTGCCAAAATCTATAATTTACGTTCTAAATTAAAAAAATTATTTTTTCCAACTCTTACTTAAATACTAAATATACATAAATGGGACTATATCCGGTTTGCAAATGAAACAAAATCTGATTACAAAATTTAATTATTTAATGTTTCGGAAAAGTGACCCTTTTCATGAACTTGTATTAACAATTACAGAAGTAATAAATGTCATAGCGAGCGTCATGCTTGAGTGCTATAAGAAATCCTATTCTATCCAGGCAAGAAATGTCAACCAGTCTGTTTCTCTGAGTCGATAGAGAATGTTAATGACGCCGCCAAATTCCGCAAACTTAATTACCAAAATAAACTACAAATACCAAAAACCCCACGGCAGCGGATTCTACGACACCGGATTGACCCGAAACAACAACACTCCAGTTTCGGCCAGCGGCTGCCAACCCAGTGCATACATGTTCGTGTTTGTTTATTTTTCTCTATTGAGAGCAGCACATCCCGGAATGCTTGCTTCGGATTCTTTTGGTCCGTGTCGGGCTTGAGGAAAATCCGGACCATGGTTCTTTTCGGTTTGTCAAAACACCATCCACCATAGATCAGTCTCGGTGCTATGTAATGGATGCAGAGGATGGGTGCATTTTAGAAATTGTTCCGGTTTAACCCGGTTGCGAGACTATAGCGATAGGGACTATGTTGCTTCGTGCTGCACCAACGTAGTCCCCAGTGAGTCCACGACCGTCAACTTCCGAGTCGTCGTCGGAGCATGGAACTCCCCCGCAGTCTCCAGAACAGCAACCTTTACCGCAGCACTGTTGCTGTTCCAATTCCGGACAATGCATCGTTCTTGCAGTTCAATTGCAACGGACTCCGAGGTAAAATTGATGAGATAGTGGATTTTATGAATCGGAGGAATATTAAGATCGCAGCGGTGCAGGAAACCAAGCTCAATGAAAATTGTAGCTTACAACGTTGCAATGGTTACAACGTATTGAGGAAAAATCGCACCAGAAGTGGAGGTGAGGGATTAGCGTTCCTGATACACCATTCTGTTCAATACAGACCTATCTCGCTTGAGCTAGTCTCTAGTGACCCGTACATGGAGTGTATGGGGGTAGCAGTGACTTGGCAACCCGTCATTTCTCTTGGCTCAGACCATCTCCCGATAATCGTCTCCATCAGCAGATCGCCCGATTTCATAACCTCTGAACGCCGCACTTTCCTTAACCATGGGAAAGCCCACTGGCCCGAGTTCAGAGAGTTCACCAACCTTCGCTTCAGAGAACTGCCCAATCCTTCTGATGTTCGGGTAGCTGAAAGGATTTTCGGGGACATCATCAGAGCTGCAGCCGCTCGCTATATACCTGCTGGTCGAATAACCGAGATAAGACCAAATTTCCCAGCAGAGGCAGCGGGATTAGCGAATGAGCGTGATGAGCTCCGACGTACCAACCCTACTGATCCCAGAGTCAGTGAACTGACAGTGGAAGTCAACCGGTTGGTACAGGAGCATAAGCGGAAAAAGTGGTTAGACCATCTGAGGTGTTGCAACATTGGAACCGATTTGAGTAAACTGTGGGTAACGGTAAAGTCACTCTCGAACCCTGGAAAAAAGGATGATAGGACAGCAGTCACATTTAACGACGTAACTGTGACTGATCCGAAGAGGTGCGCTGGCTGTTTTAACCGCCAATCTGTCGAGCACCCCGAGAGTGACGGGGCGAGGCGAAGAGTACTACGTCGTATAAGAGCTCTTCCCGCCGAGGATGTACCTCCACAGTTTACGATGGGTGATGTTGCGAATGTCATCCGAAACGCTAAGTCATCTAAAGCGTTGGGCCCGGACGGAATATCAATGGTAATGTTGAAGCAACTGGATACGCCGGGAGTTGAGTATTTAACCAAAGTCCTTAACCCACATAGTTCCCGAAGCCTGGAAAATGGGCAGGGTGGTCCCGCTACTGAAGCCTGGCAATGATGCCAGCAAAGGCGAATCATACAGGCCAATTTCGCTTTTGTCGCCAGTAGCAAAGACTCTCGAGGCCTTACTCCTCCCCAGTATCAGAGGAAGCTATTCAGTTGCCAAACCATCAACACGGTTTCCGTCCACTACATAGCACTACAACAGCATTGCACGCCATATCCACACATATCAGTCGAGGACTTAACCAGAACAGGCCGTGCCACAGAACAGTAGTGGTGGCTCTCGACCTATCAAAGGCCTTTGATACGGTCAACCATGCCACGCTGTTCGAGGACGTTGAGAACACTACCCTCCGGCCAAGTTTGAAACGTTGGATAGACAACTATATGTGTGGACGCCAGTCGTACGTGGAATTCCGGAATAAGAAGTCCAAGCCTCGTAGACTGAAACAGGGAGTTCCCCAAGGTGGGGTGATATCTCCGGAACTGTTTAACCTCTACCTTTCCGGAATTCCGCGCCCTCCAGACGGCATCGAGATCGTAACTTATGCGGATGACTGTACGATCATGGCGTCGGGTCCTGTAGTTGATGACATATGTGTCAGGGTGAACAACTATCTCGCGGAGCTTGCCGCCTTCTTCCATTCGAGGAATATGAAAATATCCGCCACTAAATCGACGGCCACACTATTTACCACATGGACTGCGGAGATGAGAACACAGCTGAATGTGCAGGTCGAGGGGCACATAATTCCGACCACGAACCACCCCAAAATCCTTAGGGTCACATTCGATAATATGTTCAAGTCTTCCGCGCAAGCCACAACTATTATCGAAAAAATTAAAAGTAAGAACAGGGTCCTCAAGGCGCTAGCCGGCAGCACTTGGGGTGAGGTAAGGAAACTTTGTTGACCTCTTATAAAGCGATAGGTCGGTCTGTGGTTAGCTATGCGGTTCCAGTGTGGTCGGCGAATATAAGTGCAACGCAGTGGAAATGTATTCAGACCTGCCAGAATGCCGCCATGAGAACTGCAACAGGGTGCCTCCTCATGACGCCTGTGGACCATTTACATGAGGAGACGAAGGTTCTTCCCTTACGTCAGCATAATCATATGCTTTCGTTGCAGTACCTGCTTGAGTGTTATCGCGGGAGTCACCCTAACCACCATATGGTGGATAGAACTCCCCCACCCAGGCGTGTCAGGAAGGACCTGCACGATCTAGAGAGAGAGGTCCAGCGATATAAGAGAGAGCCTCTAGATCATGAAGCCTATCAAGCGGGTCTGAATAGCATTCATACTGATGCAGTCGCAGAGGTAGTTAATAATTACAGTATGAATGCCATACTCGGAGTCCACCCCCCATCCATTGCAGCTGAAGAACGTCGGCTGCCTAGGCAAACCAGGGTAGTTTTGGCCCAACTACGTTCAGGATGGTGCAGCCGTCTCAATTCGTATTGGGCACGAATTGATGAGGATGTGCGGAACGCCTGCCCAGCGTGCGATACAGGCCCGCACAACACGCTGCACTTGTCAAACCTACCCAACTCGGTCCAGAGGATCTATGGCTACAGCCCATAAAGGTAGCAGAATTCCTAAACCTGGACATTGAGGAAGAACCGGATTAGTCGAAAAAAAAAAAACAACAGAACGTGTAAAACTGCTACAACAACAAATACCAAACTTTAGAAAATTGTTTAACGTGTGGCACGTTAAAAATATTGACTTTAGACTTGCTCACTAACTAAAAATCAATAGAAAACATACGGTAAAACCTTTCAAAAAAGTAAAATCGAGGGTAGGGTTCTACCTAGCCCCCATTAAGCATACCAGATGTTTAGGCTATGTCTAAACATTGACCAATCTTCACAGTTTTAAATTAACATTGATCATTAGAAGCTACTCTACAAATCAGGTCGATTAGTTATTTAACACATTTTTGTCACACCTTTCCATACATGGGATACCACTTTGCAATGTAGGGCGTAAAAACGTACTATTAGATTTTTCTTAAAAAATGTTTTGTTCATTGGTAATATTATATAATTAGCTATTGACAATTTTTACATTGTTTTTATTCAGGTAAATGCGTTGATTATAACTTGCCATTGAATCGTCTAACATCAACTAAGTCAAGCTGCACAAAACTAATTCACGTTGCAATGCCTAACGTATGTCAACCAACATATGGTGCGGATTATTCTAATCATGGGCAATATCATTGGGATTGTTCTGACTGGGCTAGAAACAGCCAAAATCCATTGCCTGATATTACAGAAGTACCTGGTGCAGAAATAGTAGATTCATCTAGTTTTCACAGTAATGAAAGCAATGAATCAAAGCCAAAGGATCACGCACGTAAGTAGTAAATATATATATATATATAATCTCTAGACAACATTTTTTGAGAAAAAATATTTACAAATCTCTTTGGGCAATACAAAGAATTAGATGTTGTATAAACTACAGGGTAAAATGAAAAATCTGCAACCAACTTCACCTTCAACAGCTGTTGAAATTATTCCAGTGACAGCTCAATATATTGTTTACAAGCGTATTTCCCAGAAAAAAGTTATTCGTGATAAAATCCAAGCGTGATAGTACAATTTCTTTATATTTGGCTGAAAAACCACATGTGGCTATCGTTAGCAACATTAGAAGAAATTGTTTGAAAAGTAAAGAAGCGACTTGATCGAAAACCGCGTCGCAGTGGCCGAAAAATAGCTCGTGAGCTGAACATATCACAATATTCCATTCGGCAAATATTAAAAATTGAGCTCGGGGTAAAGACATTGAAATTCCAAAAAGTGCAAGAACTTACACCGCAGCAGAAAGAAAATAGACTCAAAAGAGCTAAAGAGTTGCTTCGCCTGGCGAAAGTGGTGGACTACCTGGTCACCAGAACTCAAGCGCCTGCCATGGTGATGTGTCTGCCGCCATAACAGCCGATGGTCGCTCTCCGCTTGTATTAATCGACCGTGGCATCAGAATAAATGCCGAATATTATTGCGAAAATATTCTGACTGCAGACCTTGGCCATTCCAACAGGACTTAGCACCATCGCACTCAGCACGCGCCACCCAAGAATGGTTACAAAATGAGGTTCCTCGCTTCATTTCCAGATACATTCCGGCATTTTTTGCTTTCATTTAATTGACTTTGTTGCAGTTTTTATCTCACCCTGTATAGCGTCAATGCATACTAAAGGCTAGCACAAGACAAATTGTATGAATTATGATTTTTTTGACCCACTGACTTGTCTACTCAATCATGTGTTAAGTATTTGATCAACAGTGACACCCAAAACAACCCTCATTTTGACTCATGTCTGTCAATGCCAAAGGTTCGATCGAAGCTTGATCGACTCGACCATTTGCATGGTGTTCTCAAAAAAAGCAGTATGTCTACGATGACAACGAACCATGTTTTCGATTCAATCATTTGTGTACGTGTGCTTAAATTGAATTGTGTGTGCGTGCTACCTTGTGTGTGCGTTGTTAATTTGAAGCAATAAACACATTTAGAAATATAAAATGCGTATTCTTGTAATTTTGGAAAGAGGTATAACACTAACTGAAAAAAAAGTTTCAATTTTTAATTACGAAAATATGCTGAAAAATTATATTTTTGTCATCTTCATTAAATTCTGATCATAAAACAATAGATAAATTTTAAATTTAATTAATTATCTGTGTAGTATTTTTTCATTGATATTTTCTGTAAAATCCTATTTAACTGAGGCATACGTTCGACAAATACTCTGTTCCAGAACCTGCAAAAATCTACTAGTTTTGCAATTTTGTCGATAATATCTGGTAAATTCTTGCAGTTCTGGAACAGAGCAAAAATGTATTGTATTCTTCAATAATCAAAATTATAAATCTAAGAATTCATAGCGCAATCGTTTAAACCGATAGCGTTGCTCTCCCTCCTCATTTTTTCAATGTCCTTTTCATTGATAATTGTATCATGTTGTTGCTATTTTTTTGTTTGAAAAAAAAAACATTTGTATGACACACTATTCAACATCCCCATTTTTTGGTCAATGCATGTTATGACGATGACGAGACATCAAGCATTTGGTTGGATTGCGCGTTTGATCAAACAGGGCATAACATGACGAACGATTTCTGTCCATGGCATAAATACGACATCTCAAACAATTTGGTGAGTATTGTACCTAAAATCTTCAAAACACGGAATATTCGGAGGTACCGTTATATGGGTGCTATATAAAGACGTGGGCCTGTGCAGACAATTTTCTGTCTTTGCCTGTAGTATACATTTCGAACTTCAAATACCAAATTTGAAACAATTCCGGCGAATAATGTCTCTAAAATCATCAAAATAACAAATATTGGGAGGTATCGTTATATGGGGTCTCGCATTCTGTTTTTCGTTGATCGTACCTGTTCACTGGCTTGAACTTGTGAACCTGTTATCTTCCCTGCTATCGTTGCGGTGTGTGTCCTGGATTGACTAACCTGTTTACATCACCCTGTTTCACTACAACAACTACATCACCCTGTTTCACTACAACACCCTGTTTTTGCTATATCAACCTGATTAAAACCCTGTTACACCGTTTCCATCGCAAATAAATTTTACGTTGTTTCAAATTTTACAACTTTTTTCTGTACGTCATATTGTAAAAATATATTACTGTAATGGCGTGTTTAAATAAAAATTGCAAAATAAAATCAGACGAAAGAATGATAACATGCTGGTTATGTCACGAAAATTGCCATCTTAATTTCGAACAACAAGGGACTTCACTGGTGCTGTGTGGATTGCAGAAAAATTGGAGTGAGCTTTTACCGATTTTTCCAATCTCAAAAACAAACTTTTCTGCAGATTCTAGAAGATTCAGCTAAACTCTCTAATCGAATAAATGATTACGGTAAATTATTTGAAAATTATAAGCTGTTAGAGAATATGAATTCACCACAATCATCTCCGAAGCGTCGAAAATCAGCTAGGAATGCAAACAAAGAAAAACGCTCTGAAAATAACTATAGTACATCATTATCAAACACCCCTTCCGTGCCAATGCTTGATTCTACTTCCAACAATTCATCACCTTTTTCCTGAGGTTTGGAAAACATCGTATATCATTCCACTCTTTAAAAACGGAAATAAATCTGATGTGGCCAATTACCGAGGAATAGCAAAATTAAGCGTGATTCCAAAGCTTTTCGAAAAACTGATTACTGAAAACCTTATCCATTGCATTAGTTCTATTGTTTCACCCTATCAGCACGGATTTCAGAGGAAGTGTTCTACAACAACAAACCTCATTCAGTTCACTACAGTTATAAATCGAGGATTTCTTCAAGGAAAGCAAACTGATGTAATTTACACAGATTTCAGCAAGGCATTCGATAAAGTTAATCATAAATTATTACGATTAAAACTTAAAAACATTGGATTTACAAATAGAAGTTCCGAATGGATTTTTTCATATCTACAAAATAGAACACAAAAAGTATGTTTTAAAAACGCCATTTCGAAGAGTATTATGGTTTCTTCTGGAGTCCCACAAGGAAGTCATCTAGGACCAATCCTATTTTCTTTATTTATAAATGATCTACCTTCATCTATAAAATTTTAAAATATTTTGATGTATGCCGACGATGTGAAAATATTTCTTAGCATTTCGGAGATATGTAAGAATCAGCTGCTTCAAAATGATTTGAATTCGTTTGTTAACTGGTGCAACATTAATCTTATGGAAATTAATTATTCGAAATGCAAACTTATGAGATTCACAAGAAAAAAATTATTGGATACTTGTTACACCCTCGGTGATTATTCTCTGGAAAAAGTTGATACATTCGGTTGATCTTGGAGTTGTATTGGATTGTAAACTTAACTTTAAATCTCATATTTCTGTTTCTATAAACAAAGCAAAATCAGTTCTTGGTTTTGTGAAACGTTGGAGTAAAGAGTTTAAGGATCCTTATGTTTCAAAAAATTTATACATGTCAATTGTTCGCCCAATTTTGGAATACTCTTCGGTCATATGGGATCCAATTTATAAAACACACAGCGACCGCATCGAGTCTGTTCAAAAACAATTCCTACTTTTCTGTCTACGAAGTTTGAACTTTTTATATGATAATCTTCCACCATACACTGATAGACTCTCACTGATCAAGCTGCCAACTCTGGAAAGCCGTAGAAAAATGCTAAATGTCTCATTTCTTTATAATGTGATTATGGGTGATATTTCTGCTGGCTTTCTTGTTAACAACATAAATTTCAATGTTCCTCAACGTACTACCCGCCACTATGCACCACTAGCAATTCAATTCTCCAGGATGAGCTATGCAAACGCTGATCCTTTAACAAGAATTTCAAAAGATTTTAACGCGTTTTATAATTTTATCGATTTTACAATGGATATTAATACTATAAAAAGTAAAATAATAATGTTTTTAAATTCTTAATTTTAATTATACAATTATTAGTTATGTACATATATAGTCTGTAAGGAATTATCCATAGACTAATAGATTAAATAAATAAATAAATAAAATAAATAAAATAAATACGCAGACGTGGACCTGCATAGACAATATTCTGCCTTAGACTGTAGTATCCATTTCGAACTTCAAATACCAAATTTGAAACAATTCCGGTGCATAATGTCGCTAAAATCATCAAAATACCGAATATCGGGGGTACCGTTATATGGGGCTATACGAAGACGTGAATCTGCACAGACAATCTCCTGTCATATGCTATAGTATCCATTACGAACTTCAAATACCAAATTTGAAATAATTCCGGTAAATAATGTCGCTAAAATCATCAAAATACCGAATATTGGGAGGTATCGTTATATGGGAGCTATACGAAGACGTGGATCTGTATAGACAATTTTCTGCCTTAGGCTGTAGTATCCATTTCGAACTTCAAACACCAAATTTGAATCAGTTCCGGTAAATAATGTCGCTAAAATCATCAAAATACCGAATATTTGGAGGTATCGTTATATGGGGGCTATGCGAAGACGTGGATCTGTATGGACAATTTTCTGTCTTAGGCTGTAGTATCCATTACGAACTTCAAATACCAAATTTGAAATAATTCCGGTAAATAATGTCGCTAAAATCATCAAAATACCGAATATTGGGAGGTATCGTTATATGGGAGCTATACGAAGACGTGGATCTGTATAGACAATTTTCTGCCTTAGGCTGTAGTATCCATTTCGAACTTCAAACACCAAATTTGAATCAGTTCCGGTAAATAATGTCGCTAAAATCATCAAAATACCGAATATCGGGAGGGTCCGTTATATGGGGGCTATATGAAAACGTGGACCTACATGGCCCATTTACGAACTTAACCTG